TTTGGCACATGCATAATTATTTTTTGTCTTTGTGTGCTTGACGTTATTTTATTTTGTGTGTGTAGTATTCATTTTAGGAGAAATGAAAAACACTAAAACATTGAAAAATTGAAAAAGACAAAAATAGTTCGTTATGGAAATTTCTACAGCATGATACATGACTTTGAGCTTGCACGTTGTATTATATAGGAGCTAAAATTGATAACCTGTAGAATAATTTCCATTGCTTGGTTAGGTCTAGTTGGATTAATCTGTATAAGTGTCTTCATGTACCATTTGCACTGCACACACTATGAATTTGTTCGTGGGACTCTACCACGTGTGTGAGATTTGAGATGGTTGTCACATGTTGATGGGGGTGACTTTGAACATGAATTGACCATATTTTTGTAGACCTTAACCCAAAAATTTTCCCCAATTTTAAATGCTCATATCTTAATGTTTTTCTTTGGGGCCTATTTGACTCGAGCAATTAAGCCTACGGAGTCTCTTAAAACCTGATGCCTATGGTTAACTAACTTGGGTTAACCGACCTAAAGCTCGCTACAGGGGTCATCTTAGTCACCTAATGGAGAAGAACCTACACTTGAGACAAAAAATTAATGAGCTGGAGAAATGAGAAAAATATGATGAGCTGAAATTCTTTGAAAAATTGATAAACAAATAAGCTCATAGTAAGGGGAAGTTTCGTAAAAATAATAAGTATAAGTCCTACGACGCGTTACATGGTTTGACTCTCATTAGTACGAGAACATACTTATTAGCAGTGATTGGCATATTCATTCTCACAAAATTAAGGTTTGAAGTCCTGCTTGCATTAGATTAGTGATACTTTACACACATGAGTCACTTATATTTTTATTACTCCATTCTGGATTGAACTAAGTATGTGGGGAGTTATACTGCTTGTTGATTTTGCTTTTACATGCTATCAATTGCATTTTTGATAATTATGTGATATTGCTCGACTTGGCCTTAATGCACGTCCCTTCAGCATTTGTGACAAAAAGGGGGAGAGAAATGTGTAACTGAGGGGAGAAAATAATAATAATAATAATAATAATAATAATAATAATAATAATAATAATAATAATAATAATAATTGAGCATACACATAGGAGAGCAACTGCATATACATGCACATGACGTCATTGATTGTCATCACTTACATTGCATTGCTATTGCATTCCTATGTCTAGGGGTCATTGGGGAGAGACATAGATACATTTACCTACTGCATAAAAATATGAAAGCTTGCAGTAAGGGGGAGCGTTGCATTGCATTTCATATCACATCCATCTGTTTGAGTTTTGATGTTTAGTGGTGTTGGTGTCTTGGTTGGTGTTTTGATTAGCATCAATTTCATGTCTCAAACTGTTATGTTGATTTGTGATTAAGAGCTTTATGTAATCTTTATATTTCCTGTATCACGTTCTTTTACACTAGGTATATGAGTTTGTGGATTTCTGAAAACAAGTACACGAAGGAATGCAAGACTCAATGATTGGGTTTACTAGGTAGTCTAATTTTTGGTTGTCAAGTCCTGATTTATTTTCTATTGTCCTGACTTCATTTGTGAGTTTTTTCACAGAATGCCAAAGGGGGGAGGGGTTTGTTAGGTCTAAAGGTGTAATTGGCGATTCTGTGGACAAAAGGACTAAATTGTAAATTTTAAAAGTCAGGGACTCAATTGTACAATGTTATAAAAAGGCAAGGACTTAGGGTGCAATTTAGAAAGTTATGTGGTAGGGATTAGGGTTTGAGTGTTAGGTCAAAATCAAGAACGTGGCGCCAGAGGTTTGCTAGTTGTTCGCACTACTACCACTCAAGCGAGAAGAAGCAGAATGGACGTCGCTCGCTCTTCGCCTGGACTTCGCTTGAGCGAAGTATTGTCGCTCGTTCTCCGCTCGCTTTTCACTCGAACGACAGTATTATATAGAAAATCGTATTTTTCGATTTTTGAAAAGTTTTACACGGCTTAGAACTCCAAATTGCCCCCAACTATAAATACAAAGGCTGTGAACGAAAATAGTGTGGTTGCTTCATTGTGCTTTTATATTAGAACACTTTCATATCATTGTGAAGAGATCCAAGAACACAACCAACTGGAGAATTCATCAATCTTATTCTTATGATCCGGCAACCAATATTTTGGGGAAAAAACATCAAGTTTGTGAAGACAAAACACCGATACTTCTTCATCTGTTGAGGAAGGGACTTTCTCAAAGGGGGATTGAGTGAGGTGGACAACAAGCGCATGAACTAGACAAGAACAGGAGGTTCTTGGAATTCCACTTGGTGATACAATCAACTAAAGAACAGGAGGCTGTATTGGATAGTAGATTGGGCTGTAGGTGGTAGATCGGGAAGCTAGCAGGAGACTAGTAATGTCTACGGCAGTAGATCGTGAAACTGGAATAGCGGGTTTGACTGAGTACGGAGTTTAACAGAACTTGTACCGACTAAATTGGTATAGTGGAACTTACTAGCTTGGTCTCGGAGTTTTAACAACGTTGGGGTTTCTCCGTCATCATATCGTGAGTTGTGTTTTGTATTATGTTATTTACTTTACACAAACTAGCAGTTCAACATAGGAATTAACTGGACTTTATGTTTAATCACCTAGACAATTAATTAAAGTGACGTGTTGCTTTGATTAATCAATTCCGCGGTGAGGTCGAATAATAAATTGTTTGGAACGTAAACTTGGCAATATCTAAAACTTGAATTTGACGTAACATAACGTTCTTCGTAAATTTCCAAGTGGTTGTAGAACGTTCCCTGAACTTTCACAAATCCATTAAAAAACACACATAACCAAACACAACACAAACAGAGAAACGAGAAATGGAGAAGGAAATAGAAAGAAAGAAGGACAAAAAAAAAAAAGAGGAAGAAGAAAAAAAAAATTCGCCAACATGTTAGAAATAAGTTCTTCTACTATTACGTTTGAATTTCTCAATTTTGAAAGGTAAGTAAAAAGTTACTCATTGTCAAGTTATGTTTAATTTTATAGTTGTCAGATTTTTAGACTAAATTCAATTTTATTAAAGGGGTTAAGTATAATAAACTATGAAATTGAGTAAAGTGAAAGAAAAACTAATTTTAGTTATTAAAGAGACTGTAGAAATCACCCAAACGTGAAATGATTAAGTTTGGGTATCACCTATTTAATTATTGAAATTATTTAAAATAATTAATTGTTTATTTAAAAATTATATCGTATTTCAGGCGACGATACTAACATTGGAATAACTTACCAACTAGGTTGATTTTGCGAATATAGTACTGTGAGTGGAAAAATATAAATATTTTTAAAGTATTTATAAATTAAGTCTGTTATCAAAGTATGCACAAATATGTGTTCGATTATATGATTATAATGGAAATCTCTTTTATTATGATACATGTGGAATCTCAAAGATTATTTATGGAACATTTGTAACTTGATATGTAAGACATGTGATATTGAGATTTGTTTGGTATGCGAGACATGTAATATTGAGATCTGTCAAAAAAGTACCCGTGATTATATATTTCTTCTAGTTCACAGATGAGCTTTAGCCGTGTTCTATCCTACATGGAGGGGTTTTGATCGGATATTGGTCTTGACCGTGTACATATAGTTCACAGAGGGGCGTTGACCGTATTCTAGAATTGATTACTAGAGGTTTTTGAGACCGGTTTTCATTTATGGAGGGGGCTAAAGGCCCGTGGCGAAAGTGGTTAGCCTGAGGGGTGGATTTACAGATTTTAGTCAGAGGATACATTTTTGGTGGATTACATGTGATGTGATGAGATGATGGTATAGATATCAACTGATAACTATATCGTGATTATGAGATGATATTTACAGTGTTATGAGAATGTCTCACTTTTTGTCTATAATTGTATGAGGCTATCATGTGAAGTATTTAATGATATGAACTTGACGTTTGATAAAAATATTTAAAGGAGAAAGTATAATTATTTTCGAACTCTTCCAATCATTAAGCTATAAACTCATATATTTTTCCGTAATAATCTTCTTACAGGTAGCAATTGATTCTTTTACCTGGAAGAGCCTAAAGATTTCAAAATGAGAGCCACACGACATATTGAATGTTATAAATTCATATCGATGAGGCATAAAGTAAATAATTTGGGCCAATCTCATTACATTTTACATAGCATTTGATTTTGGCACATATTTTGTCGTAAGTCATAGACAGTCTTGGTGGTGAATTTGACATCTAGTCAGCATCTATTATTGACGCACATCACGTTCCTAGTCTATTAAGGTGATTCGGTACGGAGCGTTTTAGGCCCGCTACCTTCTTCCCGAGCAATCGACCACTACCCGTATCCTAGAACACCAGATTTCACAACCATTCGAACCCTTACCTCCATCTTCAACATCTTGTCATCACCTGGCCATAGAGTTACCCAAAACAGCCCCAATCATCACCCAAAACCACACTACCAGCCAAGGTTTTCGCCATATTTCCACTGCCATCGGCCACCGTTTCGAGTGCGGACCACCACCACTCTACTCCTCTCAACTAGGCGTATCCAATACAACCATGGGTCACCTGCAATTTTGTCCAAATTCGAGTGAGCTTGTGAAAGTAGTCCGTGAGTTGTGGCAGATTTGGTCCCAACAAAATTGATGAAATTTTATTGATGCAAACAATCAATTCTGCTTTCCAAACATCAAGGTTGGTTTTTTAAATGGGTTGGGTTTAGTTTTTGCACATTTATTTATGGTTTCTTGTATGTAATTGAATTTGTTGGCTACTTACTCTTATTGAAATTTTCGAAATTGGATGTTGAAAATGAGGTGACTTTCATTATCTTGTTGGCTACTTAATGTTTCTTAAGGAGTCTGCAAACTGGTAGTCTTAGTTTGGATAAGAAATTGTTGAAATCTTTTTGCTGGAGATAGGTCTCATTATTAGATGAATGAGATTGAATTCAAATCACTAATAAATGGCTTTGAGTAATCTGTAAATGCCACTCGTGGTTGTGGATTGCTTAATTTGCTTTAGAAGAATGCAATTCAATATCAAACAAATTCTTGCCATAAATCATAACTGTGAAAATATATACTGCAAGTATAGATTATTTTGGAAAAGCTGTGGGATGTCTCTTCCCCAGTATGTGTAACTAATTTTTGTTCATGAATGATGAGAAACGTTTGAAGTTGGTTGTCCCTCATTGAATTTGATTAAGGAGGAAAGATTGATAATCCAATGTTAATTGATGAAAGGTCGTGATACTAAACAAATAGATCAAGATTAGGACTCAAGATAAATTAGATAGAGTCAAGGATTAAACTGTTAAAATAGGGTCGAATCATAGGTCAAAAATGATAAATAAATAAATGCACCCAGATTGCCCAAAAGACATTGTAGTTTGCAGCAAAGCTAACAACCTGGTGATGAGCAGTGAGATCAAATGTATTAAAAGTGACAAGAATAAGAGACAAGTACTCTTAAATCATATTGATAGTAGGATAGTTGGAAAAGACAAATCATATGCAACATGTTTGAAGAAATGAAATAACAGTACTACGCCCAATTTGGACAAGAATCTGGAAATGTTACATTAATAGAAAGAAGGTAGGCAATTGAACATAGAGATTAGTCCATGAACGAAGGTCCCATCAAATTTTTATATTAAATGAAACATCTCTGTCTCTCTCCCATCCACTATTTCATTGTTGTCACATGTGCAAAACCAACAAGAAAGAAACAGGTCATGAGAGCGAGAGAGTTCTCTTTCTCCAGACCTCTTTTCGACTGCCAAAGCTAAGCCCTTCTCATGCTTGTAAAATTAATTGTTTTTCTTGTTCTTGTTCTTTCTTTCAAGCTCTGTTCTTTTTCGAGTTCTTGTAGTTTATAGGTATGTGGCCTTGGTTTTTTTTTTATATGGTCAATCTATTCAGTGGAAGGAACGTCCTACTGAAATGGAGGTGCCTCGAAAGGAAGTAGTTGTTAATCAGGTGCAACAATTGGATTATAGAGCGCGTCAAGAGAGGGAACTGAAGTTCACGACTGCTGGCTGGAAGCGTGATTGCCATGGTAGGTGGTTTAAGGATGAAAATGTAAGCTTTAATTTCTTTGGCTTCATGTTTAATTGGTAATAGGTACAAATTTTTGGTTTAACTTGCAGTGATAAATTTGAGGGCTGTTTAATTATCTTTTGTTGTCATAGTATATTTGCTTCTACATGATAAAATTTTAATAGAATAAATCATTTCAATTTGGTAGAGGTCTGTATGATGGTTTCATTTGCTTGCAAGTTGAGTTTTAATCCGATGCACATATGAGGGATTCTTGATTTTTCATCCGTTAAGATGCAAACATATTGGTATTCTATGCATCTAAGAAATGAGCAGCAATTACATTTCATGCTGGTGTGTGCCATCACAATTTGTATGTTAAGAGGAAACTATTTTCAGCCTTTCTAACTGAATATTGACAAATGACAATGGGATGAGTTTGGTCTTCTTGCAGTATTCTGTCTCTCAATGTCATTTTGAGCTTCGTTTGGGCATGCATGATATGTGTAGATAAATTAAAAGATGATTTGAGGTTGGTTGACTAAGCTCGAAGTGTTTTGGTGCTTGTTGAACAAGTTTGAATTTTTTTGATGGGAATGGATTTCGGCTATTTCTGTTTGAATCTGTATTCATTATTTCCTCAGCATCATATTGAAAAATGCCGTGCAAAGCTAAAACCTTGTAGAAGGTTACTTTTGGGTTCATGTAGCTTTGTCATGCCTTGGTAGGAGGCACCTTTACTTTGAAGTTCTCGTACTTTGAGAAGAACATAAGCCTGTCAAGTGTCGAGTTACAATATGGATGTATAGTTAGCTATTATATTTACATGACCAGCATATTTCTGGGTTTACCTAAGTTTTGCTTCCCAGATAATTAGAAAGACCTATCACATTTTGCTAATTGTTGCACAAAGTTGCATCTTTTTGGAAAATGGTATATTGATTTTTGATTCTCTAATAATTGTAGCTGGTAACAAAACCAGTTTGATATTGGATCCATTTCTAATTTACAAGTACCCCTTGAGTTTTGCAACATTACGAGGAAGCAATTACCGTACACTTGTAGTCACGTACTTGGTAGTCACTTCTCCATCATGTACAGCCTTCTAAATAGCAAATAGGGTTAGCAACATGTAAAAATAGTAGCTAACCATATGCTGCTTCTCCTGATGATAATACGGTGTTCAGCTTTGTTGTAATTGTTACCGAAGTGGATATGTTACGGTCATGATAAAACTAACTTGGTTCATGTTTATCGAAGTATATAATTGATTGTAATTTGATATGTATTTCGAGTGATTAACATGCTCTTCAAAATTTATGGATTATAAGTTGACAAACGTGGACTTATTCAAATGAAAATTTTTCCCAAAGCTATACCTACTCGTGACATTTGCATTGAAGGCGACTTTGGTAAAGTGAACTTTAAAGAATTGACATGATGGTAAACACTTCACAATTATTTCTTCTTTAATTTTGTTCACTATTGTGTATTAGGATCTCAAGAAACTGTGGAGGTCATTATTTTTTATAAATGGTTGTGTCAATTCATCGACCAACTTTTTCATATGAATGTAATGATAGAACGAAGGAACTTCATTATTTTCAATACTAAAATGAAACAAATTTGAGGTCAGATCTAAAATGAAATAAATTTCATTATTTTCAATACTAAAATGAAATAAATTTTAGGTTTCACCAACTTCAAAATTTATATGTTATTTAATACTATATTAACATTAAAATATTAAAATTTTATGAATAATCAGATTCCTTGAATAAAATATTATAAAAAAAATATTTTTAAAATTTCAAAGTAAACGCGTTTTTCATTTTTATGTTTCCAGAAATTGTTTTTCAAAATGACAAAAAGAACAATTTTCAACAATTTCAACACGGCCACTCAAAACACAACTCAAAATGGATTCAAAACTCAAAACTACAAAACTCAAACACGAAGAGAATAGCTACTAATTTTTTTTATGCATTACACGAAGTGAGACTGTAGCGTACAGTTCTACTATATAATCCTTTTTATTTATACCTTTCACTAAACTGAAGTAAAAGATATAACACCATCATATATATATAAATGAATAATCAACTAGTTCTTTCTAATATATCCATGTGCTTAGTGTTGAAGCTGAACAACCATCGAAAGAAGAAGTATCAAAGGTTAGTTGCGTTTGAAATTTACCAACAAAATCATGTTTGGCATACATTTGGCATAGTGACGGTTAAGGTAGGTAGTATCAATACCCTTTTACCATATCAATCATTATTGGCAGTATTTACACGCTGTCTTAAACTCTTGGACTCCATCGACATTACATTCGTTGAAATCATTTTAAGTTTTCCCAATTCTTTGTAGAATTTTTTTTTTTTTTTGTTTTTCCTTCTGTCTTATATTGAGAATTATTTATGCCCCAGTACTGACCTGCTGTATGGTTTCCATGAACTCCTTCATGAATTTTACAAAGAATATAGTTAGCATCTTCGCCACCAGTGTATTGAAAAAGAAGCGAGGAAAACCCTCTCTTATATAGCACATAATCCTGGAGCAAAAAATACGCAACCCTTTTCCTGAGTTTGTGGCCTCTTCTCTATTATATGGTAGGACTTAATTTTTGAGAAAGGTAATAATTGACTGCATCCAAGATGGGATTCCTCCAATTCACATGACTTTTCTTTTTTTGGAGATAGAAGGTTTGGCAAGTTATTCAACTGGGACCACCTTGAGCAACTCTAAATCCTTGTTGTTAGCCAACTTGGATAAGCCATTGCTGTGGACATTCTCAATGCATGGGATTTGTGCTAACTCAAATTTTACAAAAGATGGAAAAAAAAAAAAAAAAAAAACCAATGACCCGCTTAAGGTATGCTGCCATACTCGTCCCTTGTAGTGAAGTTGCCATTTACTTGACTTATCACCAATTGTGAATCACTATTAAAAACCAATTTACTATTAAAAGAATAACAAAGTTTAATTAGATGATGAAATTAAATATCATTTACCTGATTACATGCAATTTCTTCATACTTATGTTGTATTTGAAAATGTCCGTCTTACCAATTCTACGCTTCTAAGCATTTGATGATATAAATATCTAACTAATTCAGCAAGCATTTTAGGAGGACTTTAAAGGTTAGTTCTCAATTAGAATCAGTCAAATCAAAATATTGATCATTTCTTACATGCCTAAAGTTACAAAATTCAGTAATTAAATGTTGATATCCTTTATTGATTTTAATAATAAATAAGTAGAGTTTCATCAATGTTCTACGTCAATTATAATTTTATGGAATCTTGGTCATATGGTACACAAAGTTTCTCAAATGTTTGTTTCCTACTTGGTGATATCATGCTATATATTAGTGCAATCCTAATTCTATCAATTTGCTCATTAATATTTTTCATACCATCTTCCACAACTACATTAAAAATGTGACAACACACACACACACAAAATGCACATGAAATAAAACCCCCCAAAATCAAGATTAAGTATTCTACAAAATTTATCTAGTATAGCCTTATTAACACTAGCACCATCAAACATAAAAGAACAAATTTTACTTTCAAAGTGAAATTCCTTAGTAATTTGCATGAGAAAATTCAATTATCTTAAAAACAATAATTTTTTTATGTATTACACAAAGTGACACTGTATTGTGCAGTTACTGCTATATAATCTTTTTTATTTATACCTTTCACTAGATCTAAAATAAAAGATAACATTGTAATATATATATATATATCAAAATATTTCTATAGTATCATTAGGAAGAGCATTTCTATTTATCCCTTCATACTTTGGTTGGAGATATTCTTTTACGAATATTAATTATGAAATGTTCGTTGTCCACTGTATATAGTAGGAACTCTGCATCCACAATGAACTTGATCATTCCATCACTATATATAGTTTTGTTTGTTTGGGGTGTTTTTTGTTTTTTTGTTTTTTTTTTTTACTTTCACTTCCCTCTTATATTGAGAATTTATATTTTCTCTTCACAGGCCTCTTCATCAATGTCATCCAAATCAATTGGGTTACTATTTTTGTAAGTATTATCAACACCCATTGGTCACATTCTCGACAAACCACCAGGCACGAGGACATTGTTGAGGCTAATAAATTGATTGAGAAATTTAGATTGTGGTGTAATAGTTGATAGGCCACCGAATAAGCCCTCAACAAAATCGCGAAGATTCATATATGTAATATGTAATAGAAACTTCGAATGATTAGAATGTAGAATGTTGTGTAGAGAATAAAGATGAATGTATAAATTCGATAATGTATAGTGTAGAACATGAATTGAGAGAGTGTATATAATAAAATTAAAAATTGAATTAATAAAAACGATAGAATATATTTGAATGAATGCTGTGTATTATTCGCTAAGAAAGTGCAACTGTAAGTGCATGGGTATGTTCAAATTTATAGTGGACTTTTTGAGTTTGAGTTATCGATCTCTCAAGGAATGTTTACTTCCAAGTTACACAAATTTAATCAATTTAATATAACAATAAAAACAAACACATAATAAAGATTTGATTTTGAAAAATAAGAAAAAATAAATTAAAAAGGTCAAAATTTTTTTGGAGGAAAACATGTTTGAGATTCATGGTTTCGCTTAACTATTATCAAATTAAATTCTCTACAAGCCAATTAACAAATTTCTCATTTACGATGATAGACTTGATTCTTCAAGTTTAGTCGATTATCTCTCTCGAGCGAAATTAACCTTGATTGATTTAGCCTACTATATCTCTATATCGATTAAAACCAAACAACTGCATTAAATCTTTGTGAAAATAACTCAATGAGTTACCTAGAGTTAGTGGTATATTTTTATCTTCTACACAACCTAAGGTTTTACAGTTCGGTCTAAAATGCACAATTTTCTCTCAGCCAGTGTACATATCACTAGATACAATCATTTATTGACCATATAAATCAAAATGTAATATTAACAATAGTGAAAACATGTGAAAATGGTAACTTAACATTAAAATTAATTAAAGTTATGTTAAGTTTAAACCATAAACCCCAACAATAAAATTTAGTGCATTTTAAATGTATGATAAAAAGTGGAATATTGCATATAATATATTACAAAGATGAGATAACAATGAAGAAAATAAAAGATTGGGGATAAAATCTCTTTCTTTGGATTTAGATTCTTGATGGTTTGATCTTGATTTTTTTCGACTATTTACTGCAAATGCATTCTTCTTGTACCCTTGATTTCGCCCCCAAAAATTTCAAGGAAAAGAAAAGAAAACGAAAACTAAAAAATGGAAAGAGAAAGAAAGAAAGGAAAAGAAAGAAAAAATGAAAAGAGGAGTAACTCAATGTTTTGAAAACCGACCCGATCATCGACTTGGAAAAGATGAAGGGTCAAGCGTCAAAAGGCTCAACTAAGGTCAGATTGGGAACGAACGAGATGCAATAAATACATACAAAAATAATAAAATACTACGAAAACAATAAATTTTTTTTTTTTTAAAATTTTCATATTAATAATTTGTTAATTAGATTCATTGTCCTACAATTAGTCTCGATACTTCAAAAATTAAAAATCAATATGTTAAAATAGTTTGCTTTGTTAATTAAAA